CTAGATCTCAGCAAACAGCAGCTCAAACGTTTGTGCAGCAAGAGAACACCAAGAATGATGAAGGTCAAGAAACCTAAAGCAGGTACCGAATCATTTGCATTCAAGATTAATACATCTTTGCTTTGTGTAGGCGGAGGACAGGCATTTGATCCTCCATTTATAAACATTTGTTCGCCAGTGCCGAAAATAATTAATGTATTTTAACATTCTCTCTGCTTTGGGATGGGATTAAACTGACAGGTGGCCACGTTGGTTTGGTTTGGCAGGTTTTTGTACTCATTGAAGATGGGTTAGTTATAATGATGCTTATCTGGACCCAATCCCTCATATTCAAAGTGATTAATGCGACCGTATGGATTCTCTACAATGGAGAAGGATTTAAATGAAAGGGAACCATGAAAGGTGATACTTTAATGAGGTAAATGGGAGTTTTAGGGGCTTTTTTCACCACTTTTTAGTGGCGTACCTGTGGATTGGTTTGATCTCAGCGAGGAATTCAGGAATCAGCGCAAGAGGTTTTTAAGAAATAAAGCAGTTGTCAGGGCTTGTACATATATTTTGCAAGGTATAAGTCAAAAACTTATCAAAAACATATATTTAAAGGTACGCAGTATATCAGCACCATATTGGTTATTGGATATTGCATTTAAAAAAATATAAATATTACATTAAAAAGCGTAAACTTATTTTAGTTCATTTAGCTGCAACATTGCTAATTTTCACTTTCACAATTTTTCAAGTATTAAAATCTACTAAAATGTAAAACTGAAATTAAATTTTTTTACGCTAAATAGAATTAAACATTTTTTTATACAAATGACAAAGCCACATGAAATTATCAAAAGTTAGAATTGAATTGAAAACTAATTCAAAATATTAATAAATAATATAATAGTATATAAATAATGCTAAATATCACTGGAATTTTTCTTCCCAGTTGCAATTTTTTTTTAATGACTAAATAAAACAAAAGAGACATAATAAGAAATTAAAGCAATTGTCGGAACTTGTACGTATATTTTGCAAGGTATCAGTCAATCATTCAAGTATCATATTTATTTAAAGATATAAAATATATCAATATCAATAAAAAAAATTATATTTGGACAATATCAGCCAATAATAGATATTTAATTGTCTTCGATCACACACCTAAAGTTAATCTGTAAAAACACTTATATTTGCTAAAAATCTTATCTTTAGCAAATCTCAAAATGAATATCTATTTTTCATATTGTACATTATAATGTTGCAATGGCTAATTCACTTCAGCATTTAAAATGATAGTTGTAGTGTTTTACTTGTTATTTATTTAGCCAAAACGGTATACATTTTTAATATTGATCATTCGTCATTGGCTGTAACATAAAATTAACACGTTATCTGTATTAAAATTTGAATATTGGTGCATCCCTATTTATCAGAAATCCCACCTATAGAAATTCATCCATGTTCACACTGAGCAGGCCTGTGTTGTCTCCGTCACTGGAAAAAAATGTTCGATAAAGATAACTTATCATGAGTGTTATGAGGACAAAAATAAATTATGCCTGCATCCCTTTTTTGAGCTCCGTGTCACCGTTTTACATCCAGCATCTTTACCCTCTGGGATCAGGCGGAAAAGCAGTAGGTGTGGCGGAAAAATGAAGCAGAAGTGTTGATCTCTGGTCAGTTATGTCAGCAGGCTGTATTTAAACCCTTGGGCTCCCAGAGGCCAACGTCCTGCCATTTCCACCTGCCCCTTCTATGGAAGGAGCTGACACAGGAGCAGATGAGTCACACCGGTCGTGGTGGGTGTTCTAAACCGCGCGAGAGAGCCCATGAAAGCACCAATAATCGAAATAATTTACTATCAAACATAGGTCTACTGATTAACTAACATGTTAAATATAAAAATATTTAAAACCGCTAGTTCATATATATTCGGATACAACAGTCATACATGGCTATTAGAACCGCGCATCCTGTGACAAGTTTGCCGCATCTGCGCACGTACGTTATCAGTCTAAAAGGTCTGCAAAATCAGTCAACTGAAAATCAAAAGTAGATTTATTTTAAAGACCAACAATTTAACACTAAATATTGGACATAAACGAACACGTTAAATAGCCTATAAAAGTATTTAAAACAGGTAGGTTCATATATTTGGAGTAAAGTTAAATTAAATGGACATCAGTCATACAGAGCTCCGGACCGCGCGCCCCATGACGAGCCCAACACGTCGCCACAGAAACAAGGATGAGATGCGTTCTAACATAACTGTGGTGTTAAACTCAATTAGTGAGGGCTTGGTTAAAATATAGGCCGTTCAGATTACTTGTTAAGTGCAATACCTTATATCAGCAGACGATATACGTCTGTGTTTGTGGTTGGAGACTTCGCCAGCTACAGGCTCTATCCTCATTTGTGTGTGTGTGTGTGTGAAATAACGGGGCAATTTGATAATACGGTAATAGCCGAATTATAATAGGCTGCCTAATAATAATAATAGTAATAATTTAATACATTTATAGGAGATAAACCTAATATCGTCTTGACTATCGACAAGATCTGCTATTGTCGATATCTCTGACTATCGTCGATACACGATACTAGGGCTGGATACTATCGTCTATCGGCACAACACTAACTTGTAATGATGTCGGGGGGAGTGTGAAACTTTCCTTGACTGGGACTGTAAGAAAGGTTGCAAAGGTCGTTCTCTTATGTGTGTGTCTGCACACGTGTGTGTTTTTAACAAACATGTTGTTCCTTTAGTTTCAGCATCACCTGAGAATTTTAATCCTCCCGTGAACCAATAATGCAGTTAATAAGGAGTTCAAAATAAAGTTCCTAAAGCAGAATCCTTTCCAGGAACAATTTAATTGCTACCTCAAAGCATAAAAGTAGTCTTAACTACATTTTTCTTCATTCACATAGAGAATCATGTGAAAAGAAAGTTTTTGCAGGCTAACTGACTCGGGTTTCTTCCAGCAAGTTTCTAGTTTTATAAAAAGTCCCTTATTGCACATAAAATGTAAACACAATGAAACAAATTCAGCATAAAGAAAATGGTTTCAGTGGTGTCCAATAACAGCATACAATTTGTTTTGTTAATCTGCTTCACTTGGTTTTGTTTGCTTTTTGTTTTTATCTCAGTTTTGTTTTCTTAATCTTTTTTGTTTCTTTTTAGGGCATTTTTGTGCATTTCTTTTGAACTTTATATCTTTTTTTATTTTTATATATATTTTTTATTATATTTTATTTGTATTTTATATTTTATTTGTATTTTATTTTAGTTTTTGCTTTTTTTCTGTTGTTTTTTTTTTTCTTTTTGGTTTCTTTTAAACATTTTATTTTGTGGTATTTAGTACATTTTATGTTATTTTATTTCTGCCTTGTTTTGCTTTTTGTTTATTTTATTTTATTTTATTATGGAGGAAGGTCATTTAAATTATAGTATATAAAATGTACTTTATATTTTCCACTTTTTACAATTCTTATTTATATTTCATTGGTGGCCATAACAGGATTTCCTAAAACATATATCTCATCTGCAAACTGTTCCACACAGCTCTAGAATTCATTCACATATACATATACTTTTCCCAGATGTTAGCAATGGACATCATAAAACCTACACTAAGAAACAAAAATCAACAAATATACTTTATAAAAATATATATGTATAAAGTATATTAGCATACTTTGTAATTATATATTTTTTAAAACCTCTGTATTTTATAAATATTTTAACATTTGAATGGTTCCTGTATAAGTAGTTCATCAGAGGAAAAATACTACTTTTAACTTTTTTCCTTCTTTGAAGGTAACAGTGCTTCCAATGAAGCCAATTGTTTGTAATTTTTTTTTTCTTCCCACCACAGCTTGCCATCTTCACAAACCTG